TTCTGCCGAACAGTTACTCGTTCTACGAGTTTTTTTGATAGTCTTGAATAAATCCTACCGAACTTGCGATTACTGTACGAAGCTATTGATATTTACGCAGAAGTGTTTCTGAACTATTGATAGTTTTGCAAAGCTATTAAGAAATCATGAGTGAGCTCACGAAAACCTTGGGCGATTTTGCTAGAAATCTGGACAACCCTTAGCCAAAGTACGACATTAATGATGGTTCTGCAGAAGTTATGCACAACTTCTTTGTAGTACATCAAATTATGTACCGTTCTGTGTAATGATATCGAAACCTTTATACGAGCTGCTGAATCCTAGACAGTTTTGTGCTAAAGGTACGGAACCGTTTTGGAGCTGGCAGTATTTTGGTTCGTTTCGTATAAAACGCACAAAACCAATACCAACTTGAGTAAGGGAAAAATGTTCGGTATTATGTGTGCGAAACCTTGCTTTTTTTTACTGAGGCCCTAATCGTTCAGTATAAGTCGTGGGTTAGCTTTATGAACTTATACGAAGCTATGAATAGTTCTTTGTACATGAAACTGAGTCTTCAAAGACACAATTGGATGATGAAAAGTTTCGCATGTACTATACTGAACCTTCTGAGGCATAAATGATATGCCATTGGTTGAGTACGAGACATGCAGAACCATGGTGAATTTAGTAATGAGCATGCAGAACTTTTGGTTAATTTTCGAAATTTATAAAGATTCGTACATGCTATGCGAAACTCAGAGCCGATTAGTACCGAATATACTGAACCTTTGATAGACATACGAAACCCCGCAGGGGTTTGTATTGAATGTACTGAGCTTTTAAGAATTTACAAACTCGTTATTGGTTTCGACTATTCCACACGAAACCAAGTCTAGTTTAGTTTAAAATGTTCTAAACTTTTTGAAAACTGACGAACCATCNTTCCATTCGTTCGGTAAAGCCTTTGAAGGAAGAAGAGAAGCGAAATGATCGAAATGAGAATCTTGTAGCATACGATAAGTTGAGACTTGGTTCCAGCTGCACGGCGACCAAGATGAAGCAAAACAGAGGACAAAACTTTCAAACTCATCGATTGACTTGATGTGATTTGACCAAGAACCAAACGGTATTTGATTGGTTTGAGTAATAACTAAAAGTCAAATAGTATAATGTGTGTTTGATTGTCGAACACACAGATTTACAGTCGTGACGAGTGCTCGAAAGATGAAGAGACCAATGAGTAAAAGTATTGCCCGTTGTTTAGTGATATTGATGAGTTTCGAATGATCGAACTCCAAATGTTCCTACGGGAGAAAGAAATAAAAAAAGAAAGAAGATTTCGATCAGAATGTTGTCTTACGCGTTCGCATTCCCAAAAATATTTGTCAGGAAATGGGTTTCCATTTTGAAGGAAAATCGATATGGCCGAAGTTTTCGTCGTGCCAAGAAGGCCATCTTTCGGCTAAATAAATCTCAGATGTGCTGATCATAGCAGCAAAGTGATAGAAAAACGACTTTACCATAAACTGAGTGATTTTCGATACGATATCTTTCATTGCATTTCCGATCGTCTCAATGGCCTCTGAATAATTTCTCGATGAACTATTCAGAGCATGTTGCAAAGATATCGGATGAGTTATTGCTTGGATCAGTGCATTGAATATCGGACCATCCGGCTCGAGATACACTCGATGTAGAGCGACGAGTAGTTCTTGTAAACGAATCTTATGTATAGCTAAACTGGGCGATTGAACTGAACGATGCTGGAAGACAAATCTCCTTAGCTCAGCGATGTTTGAAGTCCAATGAGACTCACGGATCGATTTTGATGGACTCGATGTTTGACAAAAACGACAAAAAGAATAGCAAAAGCTGCTTTCTTGAACGGATTCCGACGAATTTTTGTTGACTTCTTCCCTTTACCTTCTGGTTCGGTGAAGAACTCATTTTCACCTAAATGAGATGCAATCGAATTGTCAAGAGTTTCTTAGAACTTCGAACTCCTACTGGTTTGCGACTCCTTTCGATGACGTTTATCTGTTGATATATCCGTTTCTTCCCCAGATCGTTCATTTTCCGAATGTGCTATGATGATTTTCAAGTGAATTAGGCAATTATCATATACATGGCTTACTCTCTTTGGAAAGTGATCGATGTCGTCGTGATTTGTGAGTTGAACGATCTGAAATCGACTCAGCATATATTCATTTCATCGTGGCTATCGAATAGATACCCGATTTTGGTGAAACATATATATCACTGGGTAATTTGATTAAATGTTCAGACGAAATCGGTGGTAATGCTGCTTGATGATTTTGGTAGCCATTCCTATTCGGTAAATTTCTGAGAAACACAATGGCGAGAGTAACAGGCAAAAGAATAAACTAAAAGAAGCCTACTGCGATTGATGAGATTTCTGTTTCGATGAGATCGGTGGCAGTTTCACTGTCGATTCCTTTTCATTTGAACCAGTCATACCGACCTAAACATTAAAAGGGAATAAATGATTCGAAAGAGTAGTCTTGTTTCACTACATCATGATCGACGTGTAATCGAAGCATTTTTTCATAAGCTTCTGCACGACGAGCATCTTCGAATAAAGAATTCTTGCAAATACCAACAGTATACTTTTATGACGTACCACGTTCGGTTTGACTTCGAGAGGATCGATTGGTGTAAATAAGATCTTCGTTGTGAAGATAAATTTGTTCATCATTCAGCGGACCTATAACAGAATCTACAAATGAACCAGATGAATTGAATTTCTTTAGTTCATTTCTACCAAAATATGGACTACGATATCCGTTGTTGGCTCGTTGTTGATCAAAACTACCCTGAACAAAAACAAATGTAAAACGTTCGATATCACTATGATGAATGTCAAACATTGAATTGACGAAAAGCCAGACGACGCCGAGCCATCGAGTCAATCAGATAATCCATATTGGAAGAGATAGGCGATGGTTCCTCTGAAATTCGACAATAATATTCATTTGAATAGATCTTCTCGGTAACAAACCATCCAAAGGCTGGAGATATAAACGAGAATCATAGGAATAACTTGGAAATAACATGTGTTGACCACCTCGATAACGGTGATTGTATAAATTCTGAATAAACAAATCAAAACGTACTTGAAGACGAATATATCATCATACGTGTATTCGTTCAATTTTAGAATCATGACGTTGTGGTTTTGATCTACTTCGTCGATGATTTTCTGAACTCCTCTGTGCTAAATACCGACAATAGGTAATTATCAAAATCACAAAATTATTACACGTACGGGTGCGTTTTTTCGGTTCATCGCTGCGTGCATCTGCTTGTTTAGCGTCCTAAGGAAAACAACATTCATTTCATTAGGTTAAATATTCAAATAAAGTTATTCTTACGGAATCGATCAAACGCAGTCGAAGTTTATGTATATTACCTTCAACATTAGTCTCCATGGGTTGTATTGAAGGCTAAAAGTAAAAAGAAAATTTTACAAAAATGTCAAGTTTAAAGCGGATACAGAAAGCAATTCTTTTTTGTTCTTTTTTTTTCTTCACTTCTGTAAAAGAAAAAAGAGCACGTCGAAGAACGTGCCGTTGCTTTTGTTGAGGTTATATATATTATTGTCGTCATAGCTCAGTGTCATCAGTATAGCTGAATATGATCTGATGGATGTTATTCTCGTTTACTGGAAAATAATAGAAATGAGATATTATGTTGGGATACTTGCTAATATTCGTGTCGAATGATTTCTATCATGATGTTCATCGTCACTTGATATGGGTAAGCATATAGATTCTTCTGTCTATGAAGAAAAATAAAGCAATAATTGAGAAATATTTAGTTAACATATCAATTACAATTGAGATTGATGTTTGTCGTTTGACTGATGGTTGAAAATGTTTTAAAGCGAGTAGCGACTCAACATCGGAATCGTACGGAAGTCCACTTCGAGTAATAGATCGATCTTCCGTCTGAGTTGTTAGTTGAACGCGAACTGTTGATGATGATGATGATGATGATCGTGACGGGGAAGAATAACTCTCATGTGCCATAGATTTACTGAATATAAGTTTGAAATATGTAAGTGCAACCAAAAAATGCTACCGAAATAAGAAACGAGAGTGGTATATAAAGTTTTCCTGATTAATTCAAATATAATCAACAAAGAAAGAGACCCTAGGAAGGTAACTCAGAGCTGTCTTTATTGATTCTTTTATTTAAATAGAAACTCATCAAAGTTTGATCTGTAATTCACGTGTTGATTCAACAGAATACAATTTTGTTACTTTTACTGTTGAACAGTGCCATCTACTTGTAAAACAAGCTCACACAAAATTGTCATAGAAACTCAAAATCAAATGGTTATAAACATTCCGACATTTGTCAGTTATTCGAGAACTATCAAAATGTCGAATAAGGAAATTAAAAGTCGTTATCATATTTTGCATGTTGAAGTTCAACATGGTAAGATTGGAATTTGAAGAGTTCGTTGTTTTTGATAAAAATTCTGCTTTTAAAGGTTCTGATCGATTCGATGTTCATCTTCATTTGGAACGACCACCTTTAGTTAGAGATTTGATGATGGAAGTAGAAAAGAAGGCTCGTGTTACTCTTCATAATCAACAACTTGTCTTTCGCGGTAACAACAGCTCTTCATCACTTTTCTTTCCCTTGACTTTTGTCCTTTTTGCCGAAATCAAGGTCAACGTTTGCATCAAACACCAGATAAAGAGCTCGAAAAGTTCGGTATATTCAATGGAAACCATATCATGTTAATTGGAGAAAAGGTTTGATGGAAAATGAAAGGTTATTGAAATTTGAAATTTTCGTTTTAGTTATCAGGTACAGAAGATGATAATTTCCGTCGTTTGTTGAGTATTGAAAAAGATGTAAAATTGATCGATGACGTTCTCGAACTCGTTTGTCGAGATTTTGAAAATATTAAACAGGTACGGCAAAATCTTCTTGTTATAGAAATACGTTGAAAATCTTTCCAGAGCCAGCAAACACGAAATCAATGCGGTCACATTCTCAACGATTTATACTCTCGTGGTGAACGTTGCCGTTCAGATTTGCAAACATTTAGTTCGATTGCTAGAAATCTAAATGTTGCCCCCAATGAACATGATGCACTACGAAAAAAGAAGGATATTTCAGTTTTAATCGAGGTACGTTGTCCAAAAAAAAAGATTCAAAAATCAAATGATTTTATTTTAGGATCGTTTGGATATTTCAAATAATATTCTCTCGGCGATTTCATCTTACTAAAGCGACTATATAAATCGTTTCACAACATCGAATAACTGATTTTGCCATACTAACAACTAACTAATTTTCTTTCAAATCGGAGTGGCTTATATATTTGTTACTTACTTATAATAAAATCATCATTGGTTTGATGGGAAATATTTCGAACTTACTATGATCTTGATATATGTATGAACACAAATTTATGATGTTTGTAGACATGAGATTGATGATAATGACAGTGCTTATCAGAAATAGGACAGTTCTCATTATTTTTCATTCTCGTGAATCTGACACTAATTAAATATCGAATAAAGACCTCCGATGAAACACGACATTGAAGCTTCTCACCATCAATGACAAATCATTTTGTTATTGAGGGAAGAAGAGGAGACGCATTACGATGCGCATCAGTGAATTTCGTCTGTATATAAAAGGTAAATGACCGACTGATGAAAATGCACGTTGTTCGAGTCGTTTCGTTTCGTTTATCACTCATACTGTGCTTGACATACTTAATACTTCATTTCTCTGAACAAAATGGGTCTAACGGTAAGCAAGGAGCAACTAATGGTTGATGCCATCGAAAATCAAGATATTGATAATCTCAAAGCACAAATACAAAATATTACTGACGAGAATATGAAGATGATGTGTAAATCTCTCGTACATGGTAATGCTAATCGATGTACCTTGTTGCATTATGCGACATGGCAAGGTAAAGCATTTGCACCTGTTTCTCAACGAGAACATTTACCTATGAAATTTCATTTTAGACAATTCAGAATTATTGGAATTGTTCTTGAAATATGTCGATGACTTAGAAGTACGTGATGGTCTTGGGTGGACACCGCTGATGACTGCTGTTCAGCGAGATAGCAAAGAAAATGTGAAATTACTTTTAAAATGTGGTGCAAAGATCGACTGTGATAATATGCAAGGCATGGATTTGATTGCTAATGCGATGCATTACAACGACATTGGTACGAATGATATTTTTTTAACGAAATCAACCTTCGATGATTATTTTTGTCTATGACTAGAACTGATTCAAATTCTAATGGATCACGGAGCACAAGTAAAAAGCTCATCGGGTAATGAAAATGGATGTTATCTCTTACATTTTGCCGTCGATGAAGGTTTAATAAATGTAGCAAAATTATTAATCGAAGAAGGGAAAATTCCGGTTGATACATTAGATAAATCGGGATGGAGTGCGCTTCATATAGCTGCTGGACATAATTTTGTTGACTTCGTACGATTGTTGGAAAAACATGGTGCTGATATAAATATTAAAGTATTCTATACTAAATAGAATTTGGTGGAAAAATTGAATGCTCTTGTTCTTTTAGGATTTAAATGGAAATACACCATTAGCATGGGCCAAGCACATGAATGCCAAAGAAGTTATCGAAGAATTGGAAAGACTTGGTGCTCGAGCGGATGACGAATGGCATGGCGAAGAATTAGCATTCAAGGACAGTCAGATAAAATTCGAAGAAGAAAAAGAACGTGGAATCGATAACAATCAATTTGAAATGGATGAAGTCGGAGACTCAACTTTATCAGATAACAAAGGTTTAATCCTTCTGGATGCACTTCAACGGCAATAGTTTGCCTTGACTTACAGCACTTTTACTTCTTCGATTCCTATCAGAATGATTGGAACATTTGAACACGTTCACCATCTCTTTCTTAGTATTTATTATACATTTCAAATGTTTATATTAAGACAACACAATTATCTATCTTTCTACATACAAATAAAAGAAAAAGTTGGCAGCGCTTTGATCGAATTTGTCTCTTCTTTCAGGTATTTGCCTGTCTACGTTAGAACACCGGAGAATAAATCTTGAACGAGATTTATCGATCAGGGTTTTCTACAACATGACGTACACATTGTGTCGAAATTGTTCAGCAGTTCCTGAGGACATGGCAATGCATCCATTCCAGCTGGACCTGGCAAACCAGATCGACCACGAAAACCACGTTGTCCTTCTTTTCCTTCGTTGCCCTACAGAAGAAACCAATTTTATTGCATGTCCCTTCAGATTCTCCTACATACTTTATCACCCTTTTCTCCTGGGGGGCCCTAAATATAGAGAGATGTTGTAAAATCGACAAGCATAGGTTTTTCACTTACCTGAATACCTCTTTCGCCTTGATTGCCCTAGAAGAGAGAAAAAAAATGATAGCTGCTATGCATCAACTAATCGCAATCATCGTTAGAAGAAAACCACCAATGCTTTCTACATTAGTACATAGAAGAAGAAAAAAATCTACATGACACACACACATACCATTGACCGTTTCTTATGCATGCTCTTTAAAGTGTAAGAAAATTAGTGTATTTAAAAGAAAAATAGCAAACTTCTATACCATCCCATAACCAGGCAAACCTATAGAACCTCGGTTTCCTTTATCTCCTTTGATTGAAGCGCCTTTTTCACCCTAGAGTAAAATCAAAACATAAACTAAGAAATTAATTCATTCTCAAGAAGGATTTACTTTGATACCAGGTGGGCCTGTGTCACCCTTTAAACCCTAAACGACAAGAAAAGTCGAACATTTGCATGAAGATCGGTCACTATCTGAATTACCATAATACCACTATATCCTCGTTCACCTTTCTGTCCATGGTATCCTGGTTGACCTGGAAGTCCGATTCTTCCCTAGTTGACTAGATATGAGCATCGATCTGCTTCACATCGATTTTAAACTTACTGGAAGTCCTGGAGGACCAGGTGGACCTCTCAGGAGAACATGTGTTTGATTAAAATCAATTTTTTGAATATATCCCGATTCACCTTTCATGCCAGGCTCACCCTATAAACACCATAGTATTATAGTATCCATCCATACATAAATGAATTTCTAAATGTACCTTTCTACCCGGTGGTCCAGGATAACCGATCTCGCCTTTTGTACCACTCACACCATCCTGTCCTGGAAGGCCAGGACTAAAATAAACAGAAAACGATTTAATTTGAAAAGTGACTGAAGCATATGTTTTTTTTACTTTCCAGGTAGACCAGGGGTACCACGGATACCTTTTGGTCCAATAATTGAATAGCCAGCATCGCCCTTTTCTCCCGGTGCGCCAGGCTCGCCTTTTAAATAAATGACGCGCCGTACTCTCGTTCGAATAAACGCACCACGGTCACCTTTTCCTCCCTAGACACGAAGAAAACATGCAGGCATCATGCAAACATACATGCAAGCAAATATCTGTGCAGATACAACACCGAAAAGCATTGTCTGGTTTTCTTCATAACATTTCGTTTAATCTATCGTCTGTCTATTATTGCTAATGTTCTTAACATACCTTTTCGCCTGGCAAACCCTACGATAGATCAATATATGCAAGTGGAATGAGACACAAAGAGATGTAATCCTACATCTTGACCAGGTGGCCCAGCTTTGCCAATACCATTGAGACCAGGTGCTCCCATTTCTCCCTTTGGTCCTGGTGGCCCCGGTGGCCCTTGAATAAATTTACCTTCAGCTGACGATAATAGCACTTGCTGAGCACTGTCAATACCTTGACCCGGTTCACCTTTTTCGCCCTATCGAAATCGCAATAGTTCTTTGTGTACGTGAAAATAAACATGTTCACAAGATTTACTTTGATACCGTTCCAAACTATCGAGCCTGGATTACCTCGTTCACCCTTCGGTCCCATTTCACCCTAAAAGATCTCATTTATAAAGCGTCAAACAAATCGATCATCTTACTGGAAATCCGGCAAACCCGCGATCACCCTAGAATATCAACGATAACTTTCTCCATCAAATTCAACTGCACAACAAACCTTTTCCCCTTTTGGACCTATCGAACAAAAACAAGTACTTTGAATTCTGATAGATAGCAAAGTTGTGTATACCTGGAGGACATTGACAATTAGCCGCTTGTACTTCTCGAGTGTATCGTCGCTGTCTTGTTTCATTCTAAAATAAGTGCAATCCATGCGCATTACTTATTTTTCTTTTCGAGGCATGAAAATGCTATTAGAAAAAACGTTCTCTTGCTAAGCAAAAAAGAGCGGAATTATCCATTAATAATTAGTAGAAACGATTACACTCTGCAGAAAAAACAACGTTCAGTACTCGTAACTTTTCTTCTATTCGATAATCCTATCAATTGAAGAATGTGATGACAATTTTCCTCTTAAATTAAACAAAAAAGGTCAATTGAACTGCATCTATTGTTATTCTTTTGTCGTGTTGTTTCATATAAAACAAACATAGAGTTTAACATAATATATTACATCATCGAAAGCAAAGGTAAGGAGTATTCTGTAATTTTGAAGTTCTTCATACTCATCGCGTAACAGTCAATAATAATTACTTACTTGAATAGTTTGTGAAATTGAATTCTTATTGATTGGATCTTTGTATATAAATTGGTGAATTGTCTGATAAACTTTTTTCACCCATTGCTCAAATGATGGAGTTTCCGATTGAAATAATGGGATCGAAGATGACGATGGCAACAATTCTGTGAAAATATTCTCTAACTTCGATTGTCGCTCGGCTAAGATTTGATATTGATGAGTGTTATAAGCATTCCAAATAATAGATGTTAAGATGAGAAATAGATAAAGTGTATGAGTGGAAAAATACATGGATAAAAACCATTTTGGTTGTGGTGATATCGTTGTTAGTCTTCTTTTATCGATTGGCATAGTAGAAGCTTTTTACTCAATGAATAATATCGAAAGTCGGAGAGATAAATTCGAGTTTGACGACAGAACGTCGGTATAGAATATGTATAGCTAGTAATTGTACATATACACGAAGGAAGAACAATTGCGAAGGGAAGAGAGAAGAAAGAAAGGAAGAAAGAGAAGAAGAAAGTCTATATGGTATATTTTTCTCTTTGCATGTTGATAATGATGAGAAGACAGGAGGAAATTTATGAATTATATCTCAATATAACACCGAAATAAATGAGCTTTTCATAGACAAACTTTCTATTTCATCAACTAGTTTGTACACATTGAAAGTGAAGGACTCGAGGAGAAGAGAGGAAAAAAATTGATTCTTGTTCAATATACGCAGAAAGAATATCCCACAGCGATCATCACTCAATTATATTTGCATGTGTATAGAACTGTTCGAATAGTAAGCATACTTTGGGTAATTATCTGACGACCTTGGTGCAAGCTGAAGTCTGTTCAGATGACAACTGGTGGCATTATTATTAAAAGAAACCTTATTAAGTTTGATCGATCCTGTAACGATTACGATTAAGCAATGAGAAGTTCAATGCTGTTATTATATGATTTTGATCCAATTTCGCTTTTCTTCTTCATGTAAATATTTCAAACAGATGTTTTAGAAAAAGAAAGTTATTTGACGACTAGGCGTTTTATTATATTTGTTCAAAGAGTATCGTTTAATGTTCGTGTGAAACGGCGAGTTTGTCATAAAAAAAAACTATTAGTGTAAATATAAAATGGCCTTATGGGA